TTATTTTTAGTGTTTTTTTCTCGTGATTTTTACAACATTTCGATATTGTTTATCGAGTTCATTCTGAATTCATCGCATTTTCATTTTCGTGATTTTTCCATTTTTTTCCGCAATGACTATTTCGTATGCTATTTTTCGATTTTTCAGTCTTTTGCAATATTTTTCGAGACATTTAGAAATTCTAAGATACTTTTGACTTTTTTTTGGAATGTTTTCAATTTTGTTTTTTTTTTTAGTTTTCTAAATTTTTTTTCATAACAAAATATTGGTGACTTTAAAACTTTTCCAGTTTCTTTCAAACTTTTCGGCATTTTCTAGGACCGTTGGGGTATCCTTGGAAGCTACCAGGTCAAAAAAATAAATAAATAAAATAAATAGCTGTTGTTTCCTGTTAAAAAGAAGTACGATAGTAAAAAATCTTACACATTCTGTCTTATATTTGTTGTCAATATTCTTACTCAAAATAGTAAAATTAATTTTTTTTAATTTAAACATTCTTGGTTTTTTACTATAAAATTCCGCCTTGGTGTGGTTTATCTTTCAAAAAGATAATGTTAATATACAAGTATAGTTGAGTGCCAAACTACCTAAGAAAACTTCAGCAACTTCAACAATAAGAAAATCATAAAAACTAGTCATTCATTACTACAACATTTATAAAAAAATTTGCAAACACCATAAAAGTTTCACTTTCGGAAGTGTCAATGAAAATATAAGCAGCTTTGACTGGCTTTTAGCCGGCGCCATAAAGTTAATGAACATTTTGACGTGCAAGTGACCACCACCGCAACATGTTGCAGCAATATTGGCGACAAGGTTGATAAAACGAACTAACATACACAGACATGTTATTGACCAGCAACTGCGAAGAAGTTAGTCTGTAGTAAGCGGTCGTTTTTGTATGAAAAAAATTTGGTATGGTTAGTTTTTTTTTTTTAATAACAATCTTGTTTACACAACTACACATTTTTAGTTTTTTGCTAGCGAAAGTTGGTGTAAGCCACACCGCTAATTGGATGTTTGAGATTAAACTGTGGGCATAAATATGGGGGAGAAATCAGGAAAAAGGGAAGTTGGAAATAGGTGAGGTCTTCAGTTTGCGTATTCTGGCGCGCTTTGTACTTTCACTACGTCGTCTCTGTTATCTCCATGTGAAAGGTCAATGATTAGTCGAGTTGAAATTTTAGCAATATTTTCTGACAATACTTTTTTTTCAAATACAGAACTAATACAACTTAAATTGCATTGCCCACGAGCAAAGCTTCGGCTACATTTCTTCGCGTTATTTGACTACCATAAAAATTCTAAAATTAAATTCTTTGTCAGACGCCTTTACAAGCGACTAAATGGAAGTGGGTAGAATGCATTGCGTGTTACAAATAAAAAGTTCGTACTTCGTTAGTGCTACCAAAATGTTTGCTTTAACCAGTAGAAAAACTATTTATATAGCACTCATAGTGTGCGACAACCGTAGTCAGCGCGAGAATGCAGTCGATCTGAAATATACATACGTTGTGATAACAAAGCAAAGATATATTCATTTAATGAGCCCCTGTAGGAAATACAGCTATCAGAAACCGAATTCAGATTTTTTTTCTCTTACCTGCGAAGTTGATGACAGAATAAACGCTAAAAACGATGCGTATATAAAGCTTTATAACGAGCTTAGGCTGATGACATAGTGAAAGGGAAAAGCGATTTGATAATATAGCTTTAAAATGACTTTCGTATAAACGAAACTTTTTCTTGTGGGGCTGCTCATGAGGTATCCAAAAATAGAGGAAAAAGGAATAAATAGCGTGCGACGCGTGAAGTCGCAGTTGTGATAATTTTCGGCTAACGACTAGTATTATAAGCTTCAAAGGGCCATATGAAATACGAGCCGAAAAGTTAGAGTAAATTATATTTAGTAAAAATTTGAGGCGGTTGGCTTATCCGAGCAATTCGTAGGATGTATCACCACTTGGTGGCACCCAGATTCGACTAATGGTTAGCGAAATATCTAAAAATCAAGGAGCGTAACAGTTACAACTTTATTTAAAAAAAATCGCTTTTTAACAATTATTTTTTGACTTTTATTTAATTATTCCTTAAATAACAGTTTTTTCTGGTTTCTATTTTATAAATCCAAAATAACAATTATTTTTGATTTTTACCCTAAATAATCTGCAAATAACAGTTATTTTTGATTTTTAAATCATATATCTTAGATAACAGTTATTGAAGACTTTTATTTATAAAAGCCATCATGACTTAAAAGATAAAAGACAGTAACTGATATTTATTAATGATTTTTATAAATAAAAGTCTTCAATAACTGTTATCTAAGACATATAATATAAAAATCAAAAATTACTATTATTTGCATATTATTTAGATAAAAAGTAAAAATAATTGTTATTTTGGATTAAAATAAAAATCTAAAATAATTGTTATTTTTTTTTTAAGTTTTTCATATAACTATAAATAAAAATTTATTTTGAAATTTGATACTCGTTGAAAAAAGAAATCGATTGGTATATATCACTTATTGTTGTTGTCTCTCTCTCTCCCTCTCTCTCATAGTGAATTTTTCATAGTGAGTTTTTCATTAATGACTGTTATTTTCGGTTCCTGCTACAAATATTGGCACATACGTTTCCTGGCATATCGTCACTAGACACGAAAAAAGATGCGCGAGTGTTTTGGCGGCGATAAAGGACGCAAGAAAACAAGATTTACACAAAAGACGCTTAGAAAAAACTTCGGCGAAGAAAGGCGCGTAAACCTTGTTCACGGCGAAGAAAGACGCGTTAACATAGATTTATACCTGGCCAAGGACTAACCCTTCAGGATCATTGCCCAAACATAGTTGACCGCGAAAATTGTACACGCACCTTTTTCTTTCTTGATAAATTTGGCTCCTTTCTTTCGCTTCGGCTTGCATCGGAATTATAAAATTTATTATATTTTAAGACTTCCACCAAAATATGTCAGATTTAAGATTTACAAAAATTTAGTTTTACATAAATAAAAATTGTTTTAAAAAAACACACTTTTTTTAAATCACCGCAAGTGATAAAAAAGTTTAGGCTTAAGAGTTCTGCCAACCAATGTTTAAAACTGTTATCAGCGGAATCAAAACCATGAGATTTTTGCTGCTATTTTCAAATCGGTCCAGCTCACTTAAATCTAAAAATTTTTTGAAATATTTCGGCGGAAGTTTTAGAATACAATAAATTTTATAACTCTCGTGTAAAAGAAAAAATTAATTTTCCTGCAGGGATGCTGATTAATGCTATGTATGCACGTAAGTATTTGAGCAATGCAGATAAACTCTTGCCAATTGACAGCACTCAAGTTTTGAACAGCCGCATCTTGTGTGTGATCAAAGTTTGTTTGCCTAAACTATTCAATATTCAAACAAATTTTTCGTCGCACACACACATAAGCAAATCAATTTACTTAAGCACAGGAATAGAGAAATTTCTACTTCCAAATACCTACCTGAGTATGTACGCAAGTGTTTAGTTGCTCACACATGTAAAATAGGTCATTTAAGTTGTGTTTACATAAAGTTTAACTAAATTTGCATTTAGATTGCTGGCATTGGCTTGGCTGAAGAAGATTTGTGTGGAGAGCCAGTGGTTATTGAAGTTCCAAATGTTTCAACTAGTTTTTTTTTATACGCGAGTACATCCTTTTCTTCGCTCAAGGCCAGGAATTAATTTAATTTTTGAAGTATTTTTGAATGAGTTAGGCATTGAAAAAGATTACTACACAAATAGTCTTCGTTGAAAGTTACTTGGTTTTCTTCTAAAGTTAGTTTTCCTGAGTGCAGAAATACATATTCTCAATTGCTTCAGAGAACTATGAGAACTAAAACTTTTGTTTCACTAAAATTTTTGTTGGTTTTTATTATGTCGATTTATTTTTTACTTTAAATTTTTTTAGTCACATTTATTATAATTTTATTTCTTATTTAAAGGAATTTTTCAAACCTTCAGAACGCTATTGTATGCCTGGTTTCCATTTCAATCGTGGCGAAAGGTTTCTCAAACCCTTTTCGTTTCATACTCGTATGTAGCATTTAAGTTAACTTAATAATAAAATTGCATTTGATTTTTGAAACAGATGGCTATTCCCTTAAAAAATGTTTTCATATATAAATATAATATTTCGTTAATTTTCTTTAATTTTTTCATTTGATTTTAAAAAAGGTGGCAACGCTTTTCAAAATACTTTCCAGTTAACCCTTTCATTTGACACCTATATTTATTTATTAAATTTGCCGTACTAATTAAATAGAGGCTAGTTTTGAAAATAGTTGGCAGTGCTCTTAAAATTTATTTAAAGAAAGACCTTCGTATAACTCTTCATTTGAAACCCATATTGTGATATTAAATTTACATTTACGTTATTAATCAAACTGAATATAATTTCTTATTTACAAACTAATTCACACTCGTTTCCTCATGCCGCCATTTACTAACTCACTCACTCACTAACACATGTATTCACTCACTCATTTACTCAAACTATCACTTATTCACTAACTAACTCACTCTTTCACTGATTTGTTCATTCTTTAATTTACCTATGCGCTCACTCACTCACTATTTCTCTCGTTTACTCATTCATAAACTTACTAACTCATTTACTCACTCATTCACTCAATCATTCACTCATGCACTCACTCATTCTGTCATGGCCTTGCTCACTCTCAAACTTCCACGTTTCTAAATACTTTCGTTTGCAAATATCTATTGTTTTTTTATGTAAGCGACATTTTTTCAAAATTTTCTTTTTATGCAGAAATGTTCCTAGAGCATTTCCGCATCAAAAATATTTTTTTTTTTTTTAATTTCGCTTACGTCTCTTTGGCGGTTAGGGCTCGGTGTATTTTTTTTTCAATAAAATCTCAATTTTTAAGTTCGAGCCTTCCACATATATATTATTGTAAATATTTGTAAAATTAGTACCAATTAAAAAACAAAAATTCTTCTTCCATTCCATTCCAGATGTACGCCATAACCCGCCATGCCAATCTGCTGCAACGACTAGGTGACCTAGAATGCCTAATATTGCTAGTGTCCTGCATTTGTCATGATCTCGATCATCCAGGCTACAATAATATCTATCAGATAAATGCGCGCACCGAATTGGCACTCAGGTATGTACATACATCTAGTTGGCTGATAGCAATGCAGTCATACAATTACACTAATTCATATAAACAAGAGGTATGATTTCAATGTTCTAATGTGAGTCTCCAAACCCTACACATTTCTCTAATGCAAATACATACATCCGAGCACACACACATATGTACATACATATCTGCATCTTCATCAGTACTCGATCTAATGGCATTCAGCGCTAGATGTAGTGGCATGTAGCATTTTTATTGCCTACCTTGTGGCGCAGCATTGCATTAACATTCATTTCATTGCCTCGATTGCAGTGATTGACATTTGCAAATACATACATACAAATGTAGCTTTGGCATTGTATGCGTACTCATACTTTGTATTTGCATTGTTAGCGAGATTTTTGCATTTCAATTGCCTATTTGGCTACAATCGTCATGGCTGCTGCTGCTGCTGCTGCTACTGCTGCTGCTGCTATAGCTTCGTGAGTTTGCCCCGCTTTGCAATGCCTCATTAACACATTTCGCTTTCTCGTACTCTCGTACAGCTCTGTCAACGGCTGTCTGTTTGCATTCCATGTCTCTATTCATTAACAACTTCGTTTCTTCAATTATTTTTCAATTTGCATATCGCCTTTGCTTGCAGGTATAATGACATCTCGCCGCTGGAAAATCATCATTGTTCAATAGCATTCCGCTTGTTGGAGCATCCTGAGTGTAATATCTTCAAAAATTTCAGCAGAGATACATTCAAGTGAGTATGCGTATTTGTGAAAAAAAGTTGTAGAACACACATACTTGCAAGTTTCTGCATAGTTTTCATAAAAAACTTTCAAAGTAGAAAGCAAATCGGAGAATTTAGTTGGTAGACAAAATATTCATATAGCTTGTTATTCGAAGGGTGCGTGAAAAAAACACACAAACTTTCACGCACGAAAATATGCAATCCTTTCTAGCCACTAGAAAACTATTTTTTTCGCCCATGAATTTCTCAAAACTTTCGAGAACCAAAATTCGGCATGTTTATTTTTAATCAGTTCATTTGAGTGAGTCCATCATGAACCTAAACGAGCTATTGCATGAAACCATAGCTCTGATCCGATACTTTTCGTGTAAAATCCTGTAAAAATGTCAAACAACAAAATTAATCTCTGAAGTGAGAGTAAAAAGTGAGTAGCAACAAAAATTACGGGATCAAAAAAAGCATTTTCCTATAAAAACGTTAACCAGTGATCGCTTGACACTTTTCATAATTTTACCAGAAAAAAAAGTTCGGGTAAAATCTTGCAACTTCATTCTCTACACAACTCTCCAAACATCGCTCTCATTTACAGGATTTTGGAGGAAATTTGGAGGGATCATTTTTCCTGTAACTTCCTGCAAATTTGTATAAAACCCTGTAAGTTCATGGAGTACTGGATCAGAGCTGATATATGTATATATGTACATAAGGCCTTATTTATAAAAAATAAAGTATAAACTACTTGCATAATTTTCAGTGGTTTCCGAAAATTTTTGCGGCTCTAACGGGATTAGTTGTATTATTTGGCGACCTTTTTGGTGATTGTTCTCTCTTTTGCGGATTTTTTTTATAGGGCTTTTTTTAGAAAGTTGCAATAATCGTTTGAGAATTTTCGGCACTTTTCTGGCCTTCCGTAGTATTCTTAGAGATTTCCTCTGCTCTTTTGGATATTTTCCGTAAATTTTCTGAACATTTTTTTGTGAGTTTTCGATTGTCTGTACTTTTTTTTTGGAAGTTTTCGTGAATTTTCACAATTTTTCTGAATTTTATCGGTCACCTGAGGCTTTTCGGTATTAGCTGACCGGTTTGAGACCACCACCCTGGCTCATCTTCTTAATTTTTTTTTTTGTATGAGCTTTCGAACACTTCTGGAGTTTTAAGCAGTTTTCTGTACTTTTTTTAATTTTCGGAATTCGTCAAGTTTTTCGGAATTTTATCAGTCGCCTGCGGCTTTTTGGTATTAGCTCAACGCATTGAAGTAATTTTTGGGCTCTTATCTTTCATTATTTAAAATAATTTAGGATTTGCGGAGCTTTTTTTCGTAAGTTTCTGAATTTTTCAGCGGTGTTTTGTACATTTTTTTTTTAGAATTTTTCGTGGCTTTTCGGAGTTTTTCTGACGGCTTAGCACCAAACTCAGCATTTTGAGGCACTTTCTCGGGATCTTCTGGGACTCTTTCGTTTTGATTTGAAAAATTTTCGGAGACTTTTATGCCTGTTTTCGGTTGCTTTAAAAGTAATATAGTATTTCTTAGAATTTTTCGAGATTTTTCGGTTATTTTGAGCGACTTTTCTGGACCTACGGTTTTTTTTATTAGCTTCGTCGAAGACCGTTAGGAATTTCTTCACTACTTGTTGGTATCTTTCTACGGCCTTTCTAGCAGTTTTCCAATTAATTTTTTTATTTTTAAATATTTATCGGCTGCCCTCGAAATTTCTTTTGGAGATAATGCTGGACTTTTCCGAATTTTTCGACTTTTAGCACCTTTCGACCTCTTTACATATTTTTCAAGATATTTCTGCTTTTTCCTTTCACTTTGTTTTTGTGTTTCAAATTTTCTCAGTCCTACGTGATAATTTTCCCGGGCTTTTGTGGATGTTTCGTTTCGTTTTGGAGATTTTCTGGGCACTTTTGTTATATTTCCGGTGTTTTTCCAATGATTTTGAGGACATTTTTGGACTTAACGGAACTTTAGAACTTCTTCGACAATTTCAAGTCCTTTTCTGGACATTTTCGGATTTTTCGAGAAAATTTGGGTGGTGAAGCGTTTTTTGATATTTTGTAGTCTATTGGAATTGTTTTGATTTTTTGAGACCCCTCTATACGTTTCTGGTATTTTTCCGGGAACTTTTAGGCTCCTTTATTATACGTTTGAATATTTTCAGTACTCCAATTTTTTTTTTTAATTATGGGGAGCTTCTCTGCATTATTTGGTGCCTTTTCTGAATTCTCACTGATTTTTCTAAGTTGCATGGCTTAACTGAAACACTCTTTCTGTTCATTTTTTGAACATTCAATAAAAGCTGCCCTTTTTTTGGCAGTGTTAGCGCGTTTTCCTGAGAGTCAACAAAAATATGCCAGCTAATAACATAAATATTTATGTGCTGTCACTTTGATGTCTTGTGGCCATTGCCTGAAGCGGTCGATGGTCTGTCATCAGCAACGGTCAATATAAATTCGCTATTTAATCAAATTTCGTGCAAAATATGAGCAAATTTTATATCTAAATTTGCGTGGGGCAAGCAGTGGGCGGCTTAATTTTTAGCACACCAAAGCTGGCAAAGTCAAAAGCAAATAAATGCATGGCGGATAAAAATTCTCGTAACTATTAGGATGGCTGATATATGAATACATACATATATGTATAGTATGTGGCGCAAAAGTAGGTAATATGAATATGGATATGAATATGAATATGAATATGAATATGAACATGAATATGAATATGAGTATGAATATGAATATGAATATGAATATGAATATGAATATGAATATGAATATGAATATGAATATGAATATGAAAATGAATATGAATATGAATATGAATCTGAATATGAATATGAATATGAATATGAATATGAATATGAAAATGAATATGAATATGAATATGAATATGAAAATGAATATGAATATGAATATGAATATGAATATGAATATGGATATGAATATGAAACATGAGAATGGACTATTAGGTAAAAAAAGAAAGTGGTACATTGGCGGTTGAAGGACAGAGAGCTTAAGCGAAATACTAGTAAAATGTTTATGATGCTACTGTGACAGCTACTAGTTTTTAAATATACATATACATATGTACGCCCAAATAAACATAAATACTTGTACGTTTGTACGAAAGCATGCATTTTGCCTCCCATGTATGCTGCGACCACAAATTGCACAACAAGAGTACATCCATATCAATTAGATATACACAGAGCTTCATATGTAAATACATACAGTGAGATGCATGCCATTGCTATGCGAGAAAGGCCTTCGAAATGGATTTGGTCTTTATATATATGTATATGTTTAAGCATATACATTCTATATACGTATGTATGCTAACATATACATGCTTGAGGATATGTATTTATACATATGTACATACATATTTATACAATTGCTTCATGCCACTTTGAATGCAGTTGCCTTCCCATGTAGGTATGTAAATCCCTGTGGCTTTTATCTCACACTAACTAGCTTGCTATGCCGCCTAAAAATATGCAATATGCGACAGCTACCATAATTTCAACGGAAAATTTAATTATAGTCACGTAGCGCGGTGCATGGTAGCAAGGCGATGTGCGCCTTTTGAATAAATATCTGAGCGGTGGTTGACGGTTGGAGTGACACAAACGTATTTACTTAGAATAATTGGCAGAAAAAGAGTTTATTAAATAGCTTTGACGGAATGTTGTAAAATCAAAATTTTTTTAAGCTTCTGCCGGCGGAGAAATACATTTTTTTTTCAGAAGTTTTTAATAACTTAATAATGCTAATGAGCTCAACACATTTTTCTAATAAAAAAAAACAAAACCACATGAAAAATATTTCTGAAAATTTTACAATCTCCCAAAAAAATTTTCAGTGAACTCGATACGTTTTTCTGCAAAAAAATAAAATATATAGGTTTTGCTTTAACTATTCACTTTTTTATACGTTTTTTTATCAAGTAACTTTCGCAGAATTTTTGGTTCTATTAGCCCAGTTGCTTTTCCTATAAAGCAAAATAATAAACAAAAATTAAATTTTTTAGTGGAATTATTTTTTCTGAAAAAAAAGCAAACACAAACAGACGATTTTAGAGAAAAGTTTTAACATTTTTTTGTCTTGTCTTTATTAGATATCTGCGGGCATAAATATACTTTTTATTCATGGTTTTTGTTTTTTATGTTTTATATAATAGTTTTTTTGTTAATTTTTTCCGCATTAAATTTTACTCAAATTAAGCTTAAAAAGTTTTTCTGAAAGACAAAAACCATTTTAAGAAATTAAAGAAGAAATAAAATTTTTAGGCATCATTTCAGATATTTGTAGGTGTAACTATTTTTTCATAATTTTTTTAAGAACCTGTTTTCTTATTTTTTACAAAAATTTAGATTTCTGGCTTAACTAATCTAAATTTTTTTCTTAAAAAGGGTGAACAAATTGAAAAGCCAGCAAATCTTATCGACTGTTCAAATTTTTATTAATACCTTTGAGCCCAAAGTTTTGTCGTTGGATTATTTTTCCATTTTTTTATAAAAACTTTCGCAATTTTTTGTTAAAACTTTTGAAATTTTGCTGAATTACAGTTTTGAGTTCGATTATTTTGTCTAAAAAACGAAAAGAAACGGTGTATTTTAAAGAAAAGTTTTAAAACTCTTCTCTCCTGATTTTGTTGAAGTCTGTGAGCATAAATTAATTTTTGTAATATTTTTTATTTATTTTTTCTTCTGTTTCGACATTAATTTTTTCATAAATTTAGCTTATATTTTTTTTCTGAAGGGCAAAAATAAGTTTAAAAACTAAAAATTAATAACATTTTTTTAGCTAACATTAAACAATTTTTTTCGATATTTGTGGATGTAACTATTTTTAAAATATTTTAAATAAAATTTTTTTTTTAATTTATTCATACATTTTCGTCGTTTAATCTATTCACGTTTTTTGGCTTGATTTATTATCAATATTCAATTTAGATAATTGTTGGTTTAACAATTTTTTTAAAAAATATTGACGTTTAAACTATTCCC